TCTCCCACTCAAGGGGGCCCCCCCCTCTCAAAAATTTTCCAATGCCGACCAGTACACCCACCCCCCACCCAAAAAAAAATAATCTCTTTGAGATAGTGCAAATCCTGGCCTCCAGCACCCAAGAAAAAACCCATAAACACAGAATGCAAGCCAGACCACCAAAAAAAGCAAGTCATGCTCACCAATAAGCCAAACCAACACAAAATTACAATCCCTACCTCCAGAAAAACCACAACCTGTATCAGCACTCAAGAAATCAGGGAGGTCTGCCACAGCTAACAGAGCACACAGCAACACCCAATGCTTACCTCTCAGGTCAGCTTCACTTCCACCTCTGAAGTCCTCAGAAGAGCCCAGCTGCACCAGGACCTGAGAAAAAAAAAGAAACAGCTCAAGCACAAACTCCCCATACAGAAGGACAGGCAGAACCCCTCAACACTCCACACCTTCAGACTGAGAAGAAAGCACAGTAAAGCTTCACCTCAAGTGAGAGCCCAAACAGAAAGGACTTATCTACTAGCACCCAGTCCCAGCCATAAATTCCATCCAAGGAAAAGAATATACAAGTCAGAAAGAAAAGGACAACTCACCTCAGGCCACATGGTATCCTTCTCCATCCCCAAACATGCAGGAAGAGCACACAAAAACAGGGAGCGCTCACATATTCAGGCCAGTCCCCAGCAAGAGAGACTTCACTGCTGCCCTCAACCTGCAGCAAGATCAGAACCAGGGCTCTCTGGAGAGCATCGTATCCCCAGCAGGCAGCCGGTGGTCTCATCCATTCCTCAGAAAGGAGACGCTCCCGGTCCTCCATCATCTTCACCCCTGTCAGACTCCACAAACCTCCCGTCTCTCTCGACCTGCAGAGCCTAGAAGAAGATACGGGCACATCGAAAAAACAAAATCCCCGGCCGCACTCATTTTAACTCATCCCAGAATAACGCCGGCCACGAGGGCGCGCGGCCGGCTCGCGGTACCTCTCACCAGCCGGGACCGCACAGCCCTCCTCGGTATCGCTCCCAGCACGCCGGTACTGTCGTACGGTTCTTTCCCGCAGCGCTGACGCTAATTTTAGCTGCGGGAAAATAATCTTACCAACGTCCTCACCCCGCTCTGTAACGGACGTTCTCTGCTCCTCCGTTCGTCCTCGGTCCCTTCGGCTCCCTTGCGTGTACCGCGAC